TGGAGTTTTATTGGTTGGATTTGAAGATTGAGCAAGAAATAGAAGGAAGAAATTGAGAGCTTTTCTTTCTTTCTTGAGCAAGAACATTCGGCCAAGAAGCTTGCAAAATGAAGAGATTTTTGGCCAATTTTAATTAAATGGTAAAGTTATGAATAGTAGTCAAACCCAAGACTTAATCTTATGGTGACACTTGTCACCTTTAGGTTTAAAACTTATCTTTTTGTCTCTCCAATACAAATATCTTAACACCTTGTAAAATAATATCACTTAATACAAAATTCCAACAAGTTGTCAAAAATATAATGCATTTACCGCACTTGCGGGTCCCACGTTCAAAATACGCTCTTAATTTCTCAAAAACTAACCGATACTAGAAAAATCATTTTAAAACTATCTTTGCTCATAAACTTTATCTGGGAAATTTTTCTAATAAAGAAAATGTAGAAAAGGCGGGCGATTAAATAAAATAAACCCTAGAAAATTAGAAAATTTTCGGGTTCTCACACTCATACTTTTCGGGGCGTCACAGTTTTAAAAGGTTAGCTTGAGTTGTAAAACCTTTTGACTCAAGAAGAGAGTGACTAGTGTGAGTACATAGTGAGTGTTTTTTTTGTAGAAGTTGGTACTACTTCACCAATATTTGAAGTACTTTGTGGATGAACTCCAAACTTGGTGAAGTTTGGGAGTGGATGTAGGTATCAAAGAGGATATCGAACCACTATAAATCAGTTTGAACTTCTTTTTTACTTTATTGCTTTCTTTTGTTTGCTCAATTGTGTGATTTAATTATTTCATCTTTATTGCTTTCTATTTGCTTAAATATGTCATCACTTGGGTTAATTTGGCTATTGAAAAATAGAGTGAAAGTTTGCCACTATTTGTTTTGATTTTTATCAACATAATTTACTCCCTTTTCTTAGGTTGGTTTGGACCTTACAGTATTTAATGTTCATTAAAAAGAATACGCTCATAATAAGAAATTTTTATTACTTTAATCTAATATTCGTTCTTCCTTTCTTTTTTTTGTTTCTTTTTTCCTTTTCTATTTCTTTCATTTCTATTTTTTTGCCAAAACTCCCACATATCTGCATCCATTATGTTAAATAATTGATTTTAGTTGATTTTTTAATCTCAATTTTGTCTGACTTGTCACTTAGTATTTTTGTCTCTGACTTGTGCAAAAAAACCTTGTAATTTTATAATATGACAATCCAACTTGCATTATAGCATAGTTATAAAATCCGGCCGACCCAGTGGTCGAACCAATCAACCTGATGAACCAATCATAGGATCGGGATGGGTTGCTAATTAAACCAGTTATGCAACAGACCTGACGATTCAACAGATGAATCGGAAAGAACCTTCGGTTGAACCACCAACTTAAAATTTTTATTATTTTTATAATTAAAAATATATTATTATATTATATAATATAAATATAGTGCAACTTGCGATTGAATCGGTGACCTGATGACTCGATCACCTCTCCAGTTGAGTTTCGGACGGGGTTTGATAACTATGCATTAAGGTTTATATGGTTAGCATCATAGATAAATTTGAGTACTTTACATTGAACAAGAAGCATAGTAAATTTTTTGTGAGTGTTGGAGGCTTGGAGCTAGACAAGAGCATAGGTTGGAAATGCAAGACCTTTTCAGAATTGTCTAGTGTAGGAGACTAAACAAAGGTCTTGTAAAACCAGGCAGTTGGCAATCAAAGATTAGGAAGTGTGAAAGAAGGTGATTTTCACACTATATACATAATTTCATTTTCTTTTCTAGTATAACCAAAAGAATTTTGAGCCAGTGTCAACCTCGTTGGGTCAATTTTGGAGTTTAAATAGAAAATGAGCAAGTTTGACATAACTTTGTGAGGAGCTTTCTACAATTATCATAAATTTCAAAGGTAGTTTGTGAAGTTTTCCTTAACACAAATTACACATTTCAAATTGTAAATGGCAAGTGGGAGAAGTGATGGGTCCAAATAGGATTGAAGAATAAGGTCCTAATACCCAAGCATTTTTTTTTTTGGTAAATGGAAGTTTTAAATTTAGGATCTCCTACTTATAATTCTCCCCCTATACCCAGGCAATCTCATATTAGTCATGAGACCAATATCGACTAGATCAAATATGGGTTAGTTCCATTTTGATATTGGCCACATACTTAACAAATTTCAAGTTACTTTTTTGTTTGTAGGCCCCTTTTCTTGTAAATTGAAATTTCTCCAATTTTTCTTTTTCTTTTTTTTTTGGCTTGGTTTTTATTTTACTTTTGTTTATTTTGTAAAAGCTCTATTTCTCTTTATTCATCATCCAACAAAATTTTGTTCATTATTTTTCTCGTCTTGTTGAACACATTACGCTGATACAAAAATTTTGATTTGAAAAGCTAATATAAGAAAACCATGCCGAGGTAAAAAAAGGAGAAAAATTTATAATCAACAAAAAATGTATGCTACTAGTCCGCTCTACTACTATAATTTTCCGTTCTTAGTCGAAATATTAGTTGGTAGTTGAGGATGCTCACCTCGGCCACCCCGCATGTCCGAAGTGAACCCACCTCGTCCCTCATCGGAGCTCATCCGTGTCTTGGGCATATCCCCTGAGCTCGGCCGAATCCCTAGTCTACCGTGTAGGTGACCTCGGCACCTCCACCTCAGCTGCACGCTGATGATGTCAAGCCACCTGACATCACCCGGGACCAGTGCTTTATCTGAAAAGCGCTGGAGGCACTTAATGGCACCTGCACAATACTCTCCGTCATCGTACCCAGAAGGCTACAGTGTCAGAGTCAGGCCTCCTGACAGGGAACAGAGCCGTAATGTCAGGACATGGGTCCCACCAGCATGAACCCTCCGTCCTGACCTCCACTCTCACTCTATAAATACCCCTCCTGTACATTTCGCAAGTAAGCACACTGTTCATTTGACAATACTATTATTCCTCTCGTTCTCATACTAACTTGATCGTCGGAGTGATCCCAGGGGAGAAGCCCCGCTATTCACTTCGGACAAGAGGATACACCTCACCTCACTTAAGAGAGGACTGATTCAGGTCGGTCTAGTTACCCACCAAAAATCACCTCTTCAATTGGCGCCGTCTGTGGGAACGAGATTACTGCTAAAATGAGATCCACGCGCTCCAGAAGTGGAAGAGTCCCCTCGACTGGGGCTGGGCAAACATCGGGAGCCCAGCAAGATCGTATTTCCGAAGAACAAGGGTCCCCAAGGACCCAGCCCAATAACGAAGACGCCATCGCCAAGATGGCCGAGTTCGTGGCTGATAATCCGAACATCTTCGAAGAATTGGGGAGGTACTTCAAGAGGCAGGGGAAGGAAAAAGCTGAATCCTCCAAGAGGAGACCGACGAAGTCCCCTGAAGTGCCTTCCGGCGAAGACTCCGATGAGGGGCACCTCTCTCGGAGCACTTCCAGACGCGCCTCTTCCAAGGCGACCTCTAAAATTGCCTCCATTTCCCAGGCATTTTTTCGGGGTCTTCTGGGAAAACGAGTTGAGGACCCACCTCGGCGTCCCGAAGGTTTAGCAGCCGAATATCTGAGGGCACCGCCCTTCACGGATGACATCAATGGGGAGATGGTCCCCCCAAATTTCAACTTCCCACCCTACGTTCCTACGATGGCCGAGGTGACCCCGAGGATCACCTCCGCGCCTTCCTTTTTGCATTTCGGCTCTACTGCGTCCCCGACGCAGTAATTTGCCGAGCTTTCCCCATCTTCCTACAGGGGACGGCCCGAAAGTGGTTCTGGGGCCTAGAACCGAGGAGTATTTCCTCGTTAGACGAGTTGATAGATCGGTTCATCCACCGCTTTGTATCGTCTCGCCCAATTACGAAGATTTCAACCTACCTCTTGAACCTGCAGCAAGCCCCCGGCGAGTCACTGCGTTCCTACGTGCAGAGGTTCAATGAGGAGAACGTGCAGATACCTGATCAGCATGAGCAGGTAACCATAGCTGTCTTCACTAATGGGCTGATCGCGGGAATCTTCAATACGGAGATACACCGGGATTACTCCCGCACACTTCGGGAACTCTGGGATCGAGTAGATCAGGGAATCCGAAGTGAAGATTTAAACCGCATGAAGCGAGAGGCTCAAGCCGCTCGTACCGGGCAAGATTCCCGGAGGAAAAAGGATGCCGGCCGGGCCGAACAAGGCCCCAGCGGATCGTCGAGTCAGTTCCGAGACCGCCGAAGTGTTTTCGACCGAATCGTAAAAGGAAGGTCGTCCACCTCGGACGCCGAGCTTACACCACTCAATTCCAGCCGGACCCATGTCCTGGCTGTAATGAGGCAGAATCACCTCGGCCGAAACCCTCCTGAAATTCCGGGGAGGAGAGAAAAGAGGAACTCAAACCTCTATTGTGCCTACCACCGGGATGTTGGACACGAGACTGAAGATTGCAATGATCTGAAGCGGGAGATCGAGAATTTGATCCGGCAGGGGTACCTGAAGCAATTCGTCCGCAAGGATGGAGGCTTCAACCGAAGCGTCTTCCACTGGGAGAACCGGGGCCCCCGCCGAAAGGACAGGCGGAACACGAACATGCATTGCCGAGGTCCCGAGGATCGTAGGGAGGACAAGCAGCCTCCACGCGACGGATCACCGGGCTATGGCCCCAACATCGCCGAGGTGATCAACACGATCGCGGGAGGACCAACGGGAGGAGACAGCCAGAACTCCCGGAAGCGGACCTACCGCCAGGCCAGGATGGAGGTGGCCGAGCCGAGCTCTCGGTTGTCCGAGGTCATCACCTATGGTCCCACTGACCCCGTCCCCGCCGCTTCCAGCAACCACGAATCCCTCGTGATCGAGGTCCTTACCAACAACTAAATAGTCAAAAAGGTCTATGTTGACCCCGGAAGCTCGGTAGACGTCTTGTACTACCGAACCTTCGAGAGTTTGAAACTGACCAGGGAGCAGGTCACTCCGGTCAGGACTCCCCTCGTTGGATTCGGGGGACACGTGGTCCACCCCGAGGGTATGGTGTCCCTGATGGTGACCATCGGGCGTCATCCCCGCTGCCGGACTATACCCGTCAACTTCGCGGTGGTCAAGGCAGATTCTCCATACAATATGTTGATAGGTCGACCCACGCTCAATGCCTTGAGGGCCGTGTACTCTACCTATCACCTGAGTTTCAAATTCCCGACACCAGCGGGGGTGGCCGAGGTGAGCAGCGACGTGAGTACGGCCCGCGAATGCTACCTTGCCACCATCCAAGCCGCAGTCACTCCCCGGACTGCGTCGAAGGCCGAAGAGAAGAGGCCGGCCGTCCTCTCCATAAACTGCATCGATCCTCAGAAGGCGGGAAAGCCCGGCAGGCTGGAATCCGGGGATGAGGTGGAGCAGGTAGTCTTGGACGAGATGAGACCTGACCAAGTGGTCCAAGTGGGAGCTGGACTCCCTTCGTCTCTGAAGGAAGAGATGATTCACTTAATAAAGGACCACCGAGACATCTTCGCGTCGTCCGCCGATGAAGTGGTCGGGGTGCCATCTGAGCTCATGATTCACCAGCTCAACGTTAACCCACAGGCCCGTCCTGTGAAGCAGAAGCGTAGGCACTTCGGCCCCGAACGCAGCAAGGCCGTATCTGACGAGGTGGACAAGCTCTTGTCTGCCAGGATGATCCATGAGGTTCAGTACCCCACCTGGCTGTCCAACCCTGTTATGATCAAAAAGGATACCGGTGGATGGAGGATGTGCGTCGACTTCACCGACCTTAACAAGGCCTGCCCCAAAGATTGCTACCCTTTGCCGAGGATAGACGCCTCGTCGACTCGGCAATGGGACATGAGATCCTCTGCTTCCTAAATGCCTTCAAAGGCTACCACCAAATAGGAATGAGTGAGGAGGACCAAGAGAATACTGCGTTCTACACTGACCAAGGTGTATACTGCTATACCACCATGCCGTTCGGGTTAAAAAACGTCGGGGCGACCTATCAACGGTTGATCAACCGCCTCTTCAAAGATCAGATCGGCCGAAATGTGGAAGCCTATGTGGACGACATTCTCGTCAAAAGTTTAACCACTTCGGCCTTCTTGTCGGATGTGAGGGAGGTCTTCGGCGTCCTCCGCGACTCGAGGATGAAGTTAAACCTCACGAAGTGCGTCTTCGGCGTCACCTCAGGAAAGTTCCTGGGGTATTTGGTTTCCCACCGGGGAATCGAGGCCAACCCCGACAAAGTCAAGGCCATACAGGACATGTCCCCACCTCGGAACCTCCGAGAAGTCCAGAGGCTGAATGGACGCCTGGCTGCTCTGAACCGCTTCTTATCTCAGTCCGCGGAGAAAGCTTTGCCCTTCTTCAAGGTACTTAAGAAAGCTGATCAGTTCGCCTGGACTGAAGAATGCCAGGCTGCCTTCGACAAATGAAAACAATATTTGCACCACCTACCCACCCTCGCTTCACCTCGGCCCGAGGAGAAGCTGTACCTCTACCTCTCCGCAGCGGACGAGGCTGTCAGCGCTGTACTCATCCGGGATGAGGGCACTCAAGTGCCAGTCTACTATGTCAGCCAAGCTCTCCGTGGGCCGGAGACTCGATACACTCAAGTGGAGAAACTTGTGCTAGGACTAGTCCACGCCGCCCGGCGGCTGAAACCCTATTTCTTAGCTCATCCCATTTCCGTCTGGACCGACTAGCCTCTCCGACAGATACTGGTGCGGCCCGAGGCCTCCGGGCGCCTTACCAAGTGGGCCGTTGAGTTGGGGGAGTACGACCTGTCGTATGAGCCGCGCACCGCCATAAAAGCTCAAGCCTTAGCCGACTTCTTGGCCGAGCTCACATTCACGGAAGGTCGAGAGTCCACTTCCGCCATAGCCAAAGTGTCCACCCCACACCTGTGGATGTTGTATGTGGACGGATCCTCTAATGGGGATGGAAGTGGAGCAGGACTGCTCCTAGAGGGCCCCCAGGGAGAAGTGTGCTCGTATGCCCTCCGCTTTGACTTCCCGGCCACCAACAATGAAGCAGAATATGAGGCCTTAATCGCGGGATTCCAGCTAGCCCGCAGGCTTGGTGCACAACGGATCCACGTCCGCAGCGACTCCCAACTCGTAGTCTGCCAGGTCCTTGGTAAGTATGAGGCCAAGGATGAAACCATGCAACAGTATCTATCCAAAGTCCATCAACTCATCGCATACTTCGAATCTTTCGAAATCCAAAGAATCCCTCGCTCCCAGAATAGGCGGGCCAATGCCTTATCCCGGTTGGCTTCCACCTCATTTTCTGACCTCAACAAGACCGTTTTGGTGGAAGTGTTGAGCGAGCCGGGATACATGGAAGAGGTGGCCTGCCTTGTAAACACGGGAGATACATGGATGAGTCCATTCATCCTCTTCTTAGGGCAGGGAATCCTCCCCGAGGACCGAGCCGAGGCGAGAAAGGTACAACGCAAATCTGCTCGGTACGCGCTCCGCGATGGAGAACTTTATAAACGCTCATAACTTGGCCCGTGGTTGAGGTGCGTTACACCAGAGGCAGGACACCAGGTCCTCCATGAGATACACGAAGGCCTATGTGGGGCTCACATCGGCCACAGGATGTTAGCCAGGAAGACCTTACTTCTTGGGTACTTCTGGCCTTCCGTTCGACAAGATGCTCAAAATCTTGTTCTCAACTGCCCATCCTGTCAAGTCCACGCCCCTGAGCTTCACCAACCCTCGAACTTCATGGTTCCAATCACCTCACCCTGGCCGTTTGAGCAATGGGGGACAGACATCATCGGTCCTTTCCCTAAAGCGGTCGGGGGCTATACCTTTCTGGTGACCGCTGTGGACTACTTCACTAAGTGGGTCGAGGCCGAGCCTCTGCGGACCATCTCAGGGCTGGCCATTCAAAAATTCTTTTGGAAATGCATTATCTGCCGCTTCGGCATACCTCAGATCATCATCTCGGACAATGGAAGACAGTTCGCCGAGAACCCATTTAAGACTTGGTGCGAGAACCTCAGCATCAAACAACATTTCACATCGGTAGGCCACCCTCAGGCCAATGGTCAGGCAGAAAATTTCAACCGAACTCTCTTGCATGGCCTCAAGACCCGACTACACCGAGCTGGATCATCTTGGGTGGAGGAACTCCCCAGTGTTCTGTGGTCATATCGGACCACGCCGAGGTCATCCACGCAAGAGACCCCCTTCTCCTTGACCTATGGAGCCGAGGCTGTCATCCCTGCTGAGCTCCTCACACCCAGTCCTCGACTAACAGCCTATGTAGCCGAGATGAACAGAGAAGAGAGGTAGTTAGATCTCGACCTCATCGACGAGAAAAGAGACCTCGCCTCAGCTCGGATAGCGTCCTACAAGAACACCCTGACCCACTACTATAATGTCCGCGTCAAGCATCGGCGATTCCTGCCAGGAGACTTTGTGCTTAGAAAAAACTCGGTCAGCCGAGCTGAACCGCAAGGGAAATTGGGCCCGAAATGGGAAGGCCCTTACCGAGTTGTGGAATCTAGTCTAAATGGGTATTGCAAATTGAGCTACCGAGATGGCTCTTTAGTGCCGAGGACTTGGCACGCTGAGAACCTCAGGCTGTATTATGCTTGAAAATTTTACTAAGTTATCACTTCAGCTGCTTTGTTATTTTTCAATATGATTGTGCCACACATCTGTTATTAAAAAATAAGGGGGACAAACAGGTGACGAAGCAACCATGAAATTAAAAGAGCCGAACTGAGAAGAAAATATTTCATTTAACGAAGAAGAGGCATTACAAAAAGAAGATAAGGACCGAGGTCAGGAGCACTGCTAAGCATCTCCCACCTCGGTTTTACATTTAGATCCCAATGAGCTAGGCCTCCACTTCGGCTCCCCCTAGGCCAGTTGCCTCCGCGGCTTCTCCCCCGCCGGGGTGAGTATCTTCTCCACCTCCTCCTTGCTCTTTGGCAGCCTCCTCGCCGACGTCACCCCCAGTGTCTCTCCTCCTTCCTCCTCGAACACTTCATCGAGCTCGGACAGCCACTTGTTGAACTCGTCCTGGACCTCGGCCAAGTTTCTTCCAGCCTGAATGCCATCGGCCATCTGATCGCACAGTTCCTTGGAGTCTTCGTTATAATTGGCACTATTCTTCAAAGACTCCAAGGCTTCGGAGGAGAGGTGAGCCGCGACCTCATCGATAGCCGACGTGAAGCCAAGCATGAAGCTCGGCCTCGTCAGTTGGCCGAGATCCCCAAGGAAGGTCTCGGACCTCCGGAAATCCTCAACAGCCGAGGTCCTTGCACTCTCGAGGGCCTGCTCATGGGTCTTCTTCGCCTCCTCCGACCTCTTCTGCTCTTTCTTATGAACTCCAAGTCCCTCGGCAAGGTGGACTGTATCACCAGGTCTTGTGCAACCCGAGGGTGACTGCATCGGTCATTGACCATGAGCGACCAGTCCGGACACCAATGCTCGCCGGGGTGAGATTTATCTTTCCCAGAAAACACTGGGGGGCTTTGGTAACGGTTCCATAGTGAAGACGCCGTCACCGCGTTGACCGGAGACTTCAACTGTTTACCTCGGCCATGTGGAGGTGGAAGTGTCGTGGTCACCCCTAATGGCACCCCTTCTGGCACCGAAGAGGTGGACCCTGCGGCCGCAGCAGCCGAGCTGCTTTGTGCTGCCGTGGTGGGGGTGGTCTTCTCTACCGAGGTCTTGGAAGACAGCCCTTGGAACTTCTTTTTGGGCGGAGGCGCCGAAGTCTCCCCCGAGATCTTTCTCTTCGACCTCTTGGCCACCTCGGCCGAGCTCGATGTGATGATGTCGGACAGTTTAGTCACTGCACAAGAAACAAATATTATCATATGCCTTAGCCGAAGTGAAAGCAAAGCTATGAAAGAAAATTACAAGGTATCTTAAGTTTAGTGGAAGTGAAGGGAGTCCTGTCAGGAGGGATCAAAACTCGGCTAATTCCCCCATCGACCAGCACGGCCTTGGGGTGGTCCCAGCTGAAGATCCGAAGTCCGGACCCCATCAATTTCTGGAAGGACTCTTCCTCATGATCCCCCGCGGAAGGGTCGGCTTTCGATTTGATGGGCCTCCACCAAAAACCCCGTGGGAAGTCCACGGCCGAGACGAAAATGAAGTCACTCTTCCAATTCTTTATTGAAGAGGGGGCGCCGATGACTAGCTTCGGGATGGTTTTATTCCGGTTGCAGAAATAGAACCATCCCTTATCTGTCCCATATGCCTTGAGGGTGTAACATCGGCGGAAGAGGTCCACGGTCGGGGTCACTTCTTGATGTCGGCACAGCATCTCGAAACCTACGAGAATGCGGACCGCGTTTGGGACGAGCTGGGTGATTCTTACGCCGAAGTGACGGAGCACGTCTCGGAAAAACCTTGACGTCGGCATGCTCAGCCCGGCCTCCAACTGTTGAAGATAGATGGCCACAGTGCCCATGGGGGGCTTCTCGGCCGAATCGTTTGGCCCGGGCGATGTGATGAGATACCCCGGCCTGAAGGGATATTTTCTTATCACCTTCCCGACCCTGTCTCTTCCCACGCGGCTCCTAAACATCGGCATCTTGCCGAAGTTAAGGTTGACAGCGTCCCTTGGGGCAACTGGCTCCAGCACTTCCTCGTCATGGGGAATTGCAGTTCTGAGATCGGTATCGTATTCGACATCGGAACCGCCCTCGCTCATCTCTGATGACTCTGACCCCGATGCTGACCTGACCACTTCCTCCTCGGCTGATTCTCCCACTTCGGTAGGCGTCGACCCTGAAGGACTGGACGAAATCGCCTCTTCCAAGGGATCTGACCCCTCCTCGGCCTGATAGCTCGGCTTAACGGTTTCCTTGTGGGTTTTAGCTGTTTTGGCCATATGTG